AACACCTCCCTAGTCCCTACAGACCTCATAAAAAAACCTTTCCTTTCTAATATTACATTTATCGATTTCAAGGAAATTGCAAGTCTATAAATTGGCCGCTTCTTATGATAAAATAAAAAATATATTTCTAAATTTCAAATTAGAAAATGGAATTAGATATGAGCAACCATAACCTTCAACTTAAATTAACTAGTTTTAGCCAAATGCAATCATAAATTTTAAATCTCAACAATTTACAAGAGTCAAAAAAAAGGCAACGAGGACGCAATACAACTTAAAATTTAAAAAAAAAATCAAACGTAGAAACTAAGGCATAACAAGACAACAAATTCTGCATATGCAATGAAAAATAGTCATAGTGAGGACCTTGAATAACATTGTTGTCTTGATCAATTTTTTCCAAAGCAGGAATGCAAAAGGCAGCAGTTTTTCCTGTCCCATTCTTTGCTCTGGCAAGAATATCACTCCCAGTAAGCGCAATTGGAATACTTTCTTCCTGGATAGGGGATGGCCTTTCAAAACCCTTCTCATATATACCCATCAATAACTCGCGCTTGAGAAAATAGTCCTCAAATTCATTCCCTTTAGTAGCTGTCACATCCTATACGGAGGGAAACAGAAGATAGTTGTAAAACTAGCAATTGCATATTTGTGATGATTAACACTAAAATCAGAGCCTCCAAGATAATGTTTATATAGTCCTAGGACTCCTAGCAACAAATTATTTCCAAGTATATTGATAAGCATGATCCAACTCACGAAAAAACAATGAACATAATAACATATGGTTACTGCCCATAAATCACAATCTATTTGACACAATGACTTACCAATATTTTTCTCCATAGTAATAATAATTTCATAAGTTAACAGCCAATGGTACACATAGCTAGCAAGCGTCATTAATTATCAAAAATAAAGATAAACTATTATTCTGTTCACTCCAGAGCAATGTCATTCATATTCAAGGAAAATAAAGTCCTACCAACGAAATTGAACTCCAAAAAACGAAATGACGAAAAAAATAAATTAAAACAATAAATTTCCAATGCATTTCAAAGATGTCAATCAGCAGTTACCAAGTTAGTCATGTTATTCATATACTCAATCCTGCCTAATATAATATTGTTAGCTCCATTCAATAATTCTCACTAATCTTAAGCCTTGCACTACTACCACCAATACACTTTAGCTTAGCATCAGCATAACATAGCATAAAAAAAATAACCATGAAAAGTCATAAACCAGTATCTAATGTAGCAGCCCAAACAGTAAGCAGTAAACAACAAAACCCACATACAAATCCCAAATTCTTACCTCTGTCCTAAAGCGTGTGTCTGGTGGTGGTAACTTCAACCTTGCCTTCCAATCTTGTGTACTAGACAACAGTACAAAAGGTAACGATCAGTAAAATATAAGGACATACACTATAGTGCAACAAGAAACATAGAAATCTGTCCAAAGATATACAGGCAGCATGACAGATTAGCAGAGAGACAAGCGCAGATGTGCATGCACACACATATGCACTAGAAAGCAAGAAAAATTACATTTTTAACTTTCATCAGATTTTACATTAAATAATTTAATCTGCATTAGATCTATGTCAAAGAAACTCAGTAGATACATAGCAAGGCACTTAAAGGAAACAAAATCAAGTATAGCTTTACTAAGGTCTCATGTTTCATACAACTACCCCAATGGCTTCAGTTTTGGCCAACAGATCATACCTTCACAATATCTAATGTTCTAATTTGCATAAGATCTATGCCAAAAGAAAACTCAGTAGATAAACATCAAGGCACTCAAGAGCAAAAAAAAACAAAAAACAATGATATCTTCACTTAGGTCTCGAGATTCATACAACTAACCCAGTGGCTTCAGTTTTTGCCTACACATATCTTAATGTTTTCTCTCTGCATCAGGTCTAATATCAAAACACATCAGAAGACAAACAGAAGAGCACATAAAGCCACAGACAGATATTAAATCCTCTCTATGATCTCAAAAATCAGAAAACTAGCACCAAAAGGAACTAAGGTACTGCAACACCAGCTCCAATGCTCCATGGCATGAAGTACAAAGAGAGAAGGGCAACCTAATGGAACATCAAAATAGAGAGCATGTCAAGATAAAATTAGCAAAAACAATAATTGTTAAATTACAATGGCAAAAACACCAGAGCAAAGCAAGAAATAACACAAAGTTTTGTGCATTAATGATTGATCCACAATAACCATAGCAGAACTAGATATTTGAAAGGGAGGAAAACTTGACAATGCAACCCATCGCTATGATTTGCAAACCCAGCATATGTAGCATTCAATTTAACCTGATGTATCAGTATCCTAAACAACTAAACACATCAACACCTAATTTATAATGTCACATTGAAAAAGCTCGACTATAGCATGGGTATGCAAAAGACTTACCATTTGTAAATCTGACTAAAATTTCCAGATTCCCAAGCATTTAATGGCACAGGTTTCAACTATCAATCTACAATCTTCAAACAACACTCTTTCAAACCTCAGCCCACATAAATTTCTAGGTTTCAATTTCAAAACTTCCACCATTAAATGGCATATGGTCAAATCTAGTGGTATCAATGTATATGGATTGAATAGTAAAAACGTCCCAACACTTCTTTTATGTGGGATTTTCTGTTGACATTAAGTATCTTCCTTTTCTACTAATACAAATTCTTCTAAAAGTTCATATTTGAACCCTTTTTTTAACTAGATTTCCAAGGAAATGAGGCAAAAAAAAGCATCCTGACACTGTAGCTAAAACCGGCATTCTCCAAAAATTTCAAAAGATAAACCTCAATTCTTTTCCCTCTCTTGAATAATGTGTATTGAATAAATCCTAACATTCGACTAATACAAACATCAAGAACCAAAAATAATATAGTAACAATCAATACAACCATAAAAAGAAACTAAATATTCTCAATACCTCGTGTCAATTGCTTCGGACTGCACTGTCTTCTCAACCTCGTCGACACCGGCCTCCGTTATACCCCCTAACTGACCCCTCCTAAGCCATTGCTGCTGTTGTTGTTGCTGCTGCTGCATCTGCTTCTGCTGCTGATTCTGTTGCTGTTGTATCTGCTGCAACTGTTGCTGATGATGCTGAAAATGTTGTTGATGTTGCTGCTGTTGTTGCTGCCGTTGAAACTGATGTTGTTGCTGATGATGATTCTGCATCATCCCTCTTTGCGCGTAATGTTGCTGCTGTTCATAATTCCTACGTTGAAAATTAGGTTTTCCACCACCACCTCCGCCGCCTATATCTACGCCCATTCCGCCTCTACCTCTGCCCATTCCAGGAGGATAACGATCTCTAATGTTGTCATTCATCTTCGAAATTCGCAAAATCTAAACCCTAAAATTTCCCAGAAATCTAAACCTAAACAAAAGAAAACCCAGAAATCCTAAAGATTATATGTATATACACAATCCGAATTTTTGCGAATTCGAAGAAGAATAGTGGACGTCCAAAAAAAGTGCCACTATTATGAACTTAAATGCCTAACAAAGATTTCAGATCTGTACTAAAAAAAAAAAAAAGTAGGAAAGAAGATTGTAAATTAATCAATGAGAAGAAAAAAATCGAGAAGATTTTAGGGTTTCGAAACTGCGAAAATTTGAGGGGCTCAAATTAAAGTGCGATAGGAGTAATTAATTGTAAAAGTAATTGAATTTGAATTTGAATATGAAGATTTCGGGAGTACGAAATTAGGGTTTGCTCATGGTAAAGATCAAAATTTAGGGGGAAAAAGAGGGATTTTTTTTTTTTCAATTAAGAACGAAGCTTTTTGTTTAGTTTGGAGAAGTTGTAATTTTGAATTGTGATCGAGAGAAAATTAAAAATGAAGGTCGGAGATAGTATGAGTGTAAATTATCTTGGAGAGATAAATTACTAATTTGGGTAAAAGAAAATGATGAATACAGTAAATTTAAAAATATTTTTTTCCAAAAAAAAATAAAGAAATATTGAAGAAACCGACAATAATGAGAATTTGACAAAAGCTTTTTAATAAAGGGATATATAAAAGCAACATCATAAATCAATTACTTCCTCCGTTTTTAATTATTTGTAACAAAGGACAACTTCACGCATGCCTAGGAAAAACTTTTAAGAGGTGTTTAGTTGAATAAAAGTAAGTAGTGGGGTATGTAATTAAAGAGTTAAAAAAAGGAGGGAAAAAATCTGATTTTTTTAAAGAAAGAGAAAGTGGTCCAACTTTTTTAAAAAAGGTGGACTCTTTATCAAATTTTTGAACCACTTTTTTTCCCTCTAATATTTTGTCAACCAAATTTCAAAAAAAAACAGCCAACCCCAAATTTTTCAATTCATCATTTCCCACAAATATTTTCCCACCCTTTTCCAGAAGATAGCTTTTCATCCAAATTTTCCCCCCTTTGAAATTTTCATTTAAGGGGGGGTATATAAACAACCTGCCCAACAGTTTACAAGCAAAAAAACAGAGTTTCCCACAAATTACAGACCATACTTGTTCCTTCCAAAAGATTACATAATCAGTAATGACTAAAACCTAAATTAGTCCTAAGTTAATTGCAGCATCAGCTCCATAATTCTGGTTCAGCAACAGCACAGCAATCAAAAAATAGCCCCCCCCACTTCATTACCAGGCCTGAAATCTGGGGAACTCAACATCATCAGCATAAATATCATGGCAGCCAGTGAAGATGATGATTTTTTCAGCATAGAACAAATGCTTAATGATGAAAACAGAATGGGACACAGTGAAGCAAACAATATGCAAGGGACTGCAGAACATCAGACTGATGGTGGCATGCATCAACAGAAAAGCAGAAAACAGCTCACTGTTCCACAGAAAAGGGAACTAGTAGATGGTTATTTGTTGAAGCTAGGGGGGACCTCTGCCAAGAGGATATATAACACAGCAAGCCAACAAATTTAATGTTCACAGATCCACAATTCAGAGACTCTTTGAGGACATTAAATCCCAGATGGCAAAGGGGAATTTGATAGATATCAGAAGTAAGAAGCTGGGGAAAACAGGACCAAAACTAAAGGTCTACACAGATGAGTTCCTGCAATCAGTCCCCTTGTATAAGAGGACCACTGAGAGAAGCTATGCAGCAGCTCTGAAGATACCACATGTCACAATACACAAACTGAAGAAGAAAGGCAAACTCAGAACACATACAGCCACAAACCATCCATATCTGACAGACAATCACAAGGTAGCAAGATTGAAATGGGTGCTAAGTCATCTAATGCCTGCTGAAGTAAATGGGGACCCAAAGTTTATGGACATGCAACAAGTTGTCCATATTAATGAAAAAAGGTTCTACTTGAACCCAGAAACCAGGAGGTTCTACCTCCTTCCAAATGAAGCAAACCCATACATGTGCCAACAGTCCAAAAGGTTTAAAGTCAAGGGCATGTTCATGGTAGCCATTGGGAAGCCTATTTTTAACCAACAAGGAGAAGTCATACATGATGGAAAGTATGGTATTTATCCATTTGTGTATGAAAGCACAACAAAGAAAAAAAGCAAAAACAGGGAAGCTGGTGTGGTGGAAATCAAAGCTACACAGAATGTCAACAAAGAAGCCATAAGGGCAATGCTATTGAACCATGTAATTCCAGGCATCAAAGCTAAATGGCCTTCCAATCTACCCAAGGACATATGGATACAATGGGATAATGCCAAACCCCATCAAGTTCCTATGGATGAGGAATTTCAGGCAGTCTGTCAGTCAGATGGATTCAACATTGAATTCATATACCAGCCCCCTCAGTCCCCAGATTTAAATGTGCTAGATCTAGGGATGTTCAGTGTGATACAATCACTACAATACCAATCATTCCCAAAGAATTTAGTGGAACTCATAGATAGGGTTAAAGAAGCATATGAGTTGTTCAACCCAGTGTTGAACAAATATTGTTGGATAACCCTACAATGCTGCATGGAAGAAATACTCAATCACCTAGGGGGGAATAACTTCACCCCACCACACAAAGGGAAGAAGAGGCTAGAAAGGATTGGGATGCTACCAGAAATTTTAGAGGAGGACAGGAGGGTGGTTCAACAAGCTGTTGACTACCTCAACACCATTTTCATATCAACTGATCAAGCAAATGAAGAAGATGAAGGGATGCAAGTTGATGCAGACTAAACACAGCAGTTGACACATGTAGAAGTTTTAGTAAGACTGCCACACATAACCAATGGAAGTAAATGAAGCAGCAAGAATCATTGTATGTAATGGTTTCTGTTTTTTTTTTTTTCATTACTGTAGGTTAATCATTGGTTATGTGTATTTTGTTGTAAGTCAGGCACATGCATATTGTATGGCAGTCTAAGCTAGCCTGTTTTGGATATTGTAAAATCTTTTGGGGAAATTAATGATTAACATTATGGAAGATTTATAACCAACTAGGGAAACAAACTAAGCATCATAATCCAAAACAGGGAAACAAATAAATCCATCAGAGGGTTTTTATTTTTTTCACAAAAATTACATAATTGGTTCCCTCAACAACAACTGTTATTTCAAGTTGTTGGAGCTAATCCAAGTTATGAATTGGTTGTATCAAATGAGTCCCTTCATCATATGGATTTCCCAACCACAATACACAAAAAAAAAATCAAGGGACTCATTCACTGGCTAAGGGACATCTTCCTGTTTAGGGGACTCAAAAAGGTTACTCACAATTCACCAAATCACTACTAAATCAACTCAGGCAACCAACAACTCTGAACTCCAATGGCATAAGAATCCCTTATTAGTCCAGCCTCCAAGTCAAACTAAATGAACTCAGGCAAAGAATTCAACACAACACAGATCATGATTATCTTAAACAACTTCTCAACCCTCCAACATGCTACAATAATTGTGAAGAACTATGCACACAGCAAGCATAACACAAGTAGGGCAACCAACATAATGGTGAGGCAACTAATCACAGGGCATTTGAGCCTTCCAAACATACACAACACATCCTAAGAATTAGGCAACTATGAATCTGCAAAGCTATTAACAAACCCAACGCAGCATAACTCAAACTAATAATCACAGAACCAACAACTTTTGCAACAATTAGAACCAGACAAACTGAAGCACCAGCAACAATACACCAGCAACAATACACCAGACAAACTGAAGCAACAATTACATCCAGCAAATGCCAATACACCAGACAAACTATTGCAACAATTAGAACCAGCAAATGCCAATACAACAGCAACAATACACCAGACAAACCATTGCAACAATTAGAACAAGCAAATGCCAATACACCAGACAAACCCAGGAAAGGCCAACAACAATCAAAATAAGGCAATACAACACAAATCAGTACAACCACTCCACATTAGTAGCCAATTACAGTCCACAATAACATGCACCACACATGAATAGATCCATTCAAGCCATTTCAACCATGTAACATCAAGTCAGGAAAAAAACCCTAAACCCTAGAATAATTGAAAAAGTAAAAGAACAAGAAAACGAAGAACCAATTAAATCGAGGGTCAGAAATGAGTTACGCTGCTAGATTAGTAGGAGACTCAAGCTACGGAGCACAGCTTTCAGCGCTCTCAGCAGGAAGGGACTCAGATCTCTGCCTTTTTTTTCCCAGAAGCGACATCCTTTGCACTAAAACCAACATCAGCCCAGAAAATAGTCGCTCCCTCTTCAACGGCTTTAGGAGGCGAAACGGCAGGAACAGGGGGTTCATCATCGTTGCTGTCCAGAATGATGACTTCTGGAACAGTTTTGGTACAACCCTCATCGACCTTAACCAGATCTGGCCACTCCACAACACGAGGCTCATCATCGGACTCATATGGGGTCAGTTTCGCACCCCCCCTGTCCTTCGCTTCATATCCAAGTACATCGCAGTACGAGTTCCAAACAAACGCATCTTCCCACTGCGTTTGTCACACTTATAGGTAGCAATGACGCCGGAATCGGGGTTTTTTTTGCCTGAGGAACTCATTTTCTGGGTTTAAAGTTGAAGAAGGAGAATCGCAAAGTTTAGGGTTTCAATTTGAAGAGAGAGAAACACAAACGGGCATTGGTTTGGGAGAAGGCAGAATGTTTGAAAAAGAATAAAGGGAGGATAGTAAACGTTGGAAGATGTAACAGAGCTTCATTAATGGCGACGGTTGAGAGCTGCATTGATGATGGTAGGTGAGGAGGTGAGGAGAGAGAAAGAATTAGGGTTCCTCTTTGTTGATGAAAAAAGGGGGAGGGGATTCTGATTTTTGGTGGGAAGGATTAGGTTAGGATGTTAGATTATGGAGTTTATTAATCATAGTTAAGTTTTAGGTTAGTTTCTAATCAGTTTTTTCTAAGGGTAATTTCGGAATTTTACACACCCCAAACTTACTATAAAAGGAAAAAAAAACTTGTTGCAAATAATATGGAGCGCCCACTTTTAGTAATTGTTGCAGATAATAAAAAACGGAGGAAATACTTTAATAATCGTAATAAATAACTCCGTAATAAAGGTCTACTTGGTATTCACTATCATTATTATGCTTTAAAAAAATATTTCGTATGCATCACTCAAAAATAAGAAGAAAAAAATCATCATCACAAAGGGTGTTATCCTAAAATTACATTTAGTAAATAATAACAAATGTATGATTATAATGAAATAATGAATGATAAAAGATAAATGATGTTTTCAAAAAAAAAAAAATTGAATGATAAATGATTTAATTTATATAAAAATTGTTTATCAAAAAGAGAGTTGCACGATATCGACACGATACTATAAAAGATTGTATACTTTGTAAGAATCGTAACAACAATATATGGATAGGTTGGAAAAATGAAAAGTATGTTTCCAAAATTAAATAAATTTTTTTTTTGAAAAGTAAAAAATTAGGGAATTTAAAAAAACAAAAAATGAAGTGGAAATGTAGCATCACTACTATGGAGAAGAAAAAAATTATGGAACATTTTTAAAAGATTAGGGTAACCATGTATGAGATCAAAGTGTTTATTTTACAAATAACTTTATCAATTGTATGTTCTTTTATATACGGAGCGCACAACCATTTGTCGAGTTAATTTGAGATAAAGTGGCATAACAAATTGTACATGTGCACAATTTTCACTTTGCACCACAAGAACACAAATGTATGTACAAAGTACATGTAAAAGAGTTATGATATCTTGATTAACGAATACAAGATACTTTGATGTTCTTTTTATTTTATAGTTTATTTAGAATAAAGCATATCCCATTTTTAAAAATACTCTATATATCCTTGTGTTATTTAGATGCATATTGAATATCGTGCACATGTATTCATGATTTAATTTGTGGTTTCTTTCATCTTATTCTTATCCAATCTAATATTGATAAAGGTATCTTATTGACAAGTCTTTCTTATCCAATTTTTACATTTTCTCCATTACACCATATAAATATTTCTTTTTCATATTCTTGTTTTCATTTTATGAAATACCAATTTTTTTTACACAAACCTACTTAGGTCAACCTCTTAGGTATAGTCGTAGGGGACACCTTTCATATCCTATACTTGGCATTTGAAAAAAAAAAAAAAAAAAAAAAACTCTACATAAAGTACAAATCTAGAACGAATTGGAAATTCAATACAATGAAGTTCGACATTTTTTTTATGGAGACTAAATGACAAAATACCATGTGAAATATAAACAATACAAAATGTCTTATAAATTATCTCAAGTGTTACAAAAAAAGAAAGAAATATCTATACTAATATATTAAAAGGCGTTACTAAAAACGTCTATGTGCCACGTAAACCACGCCAAGTCACCCCTAAAAATGATGATAAAGGGATTCGAACACCCAATCTCCTATAAAAAGGATGGTTATTAAACCATCTAAGCCATTTATCAACTATGTTATAAATATGAAAATAAATGTATATAACTGATAATCACAAGGTCTAATTAAAAAAAAAAAAAAAGACATTATAAATATCAAATACATATAATCACAATGGATAATTAAAGTAGCAACCCAGTACGCCCGGGCTACACACTAGTTCACCATGACAAATTGAATGGCCAAACATGTCAATAAAATAAAAAATTACATTGTTGAAATTTCTGTGACTAAGGGAAAATTTCCTGACTCATTTGGGAGCTAAAAATAATTAGAAATGCCCGAAGGCCAGTAAAATCCATACAAGAAAGCTGTTGAGGTTAGGAGCTAAAATGATATTAAAATCCTTTTTTTAAGATTATGCTTCAGCGGTTTTATCTGCAGGAATTGTCTCAGTTTCTACTGCGGCTTTAGCTTTGACTACTAGCTCAGCTGTATTGGCTTCTGGTTCGTACTCTCTTGATTCGACTAAAGATGATGCATTCTTTTTAGCAGCAGCCTTTACATGACTGTAGGATCCTTTCTCCATGAACAACTGCTGGAAATGGTGCCTACAGTAGAGGATTCCGTCGAGAGCAGCATAGGATGAGTGTGTAAGAGAACACCCTCCAATAGCACACCTGAAGCATGTCTTGTGGTAGGATTCTCCCTCCATTGTTATCTGTGAACGTAAGAGAAAATGAAGATGAATGTGTCGGGTTAACTACAATGGCTACAAGAATTAGTTAACTTTCATCTTCCTTAGATCATTCAATTAGATAGACTACTTCCATCTATGATCTTTTCTACTCCGTATATTTTGTTGGGAGGGGGTAATAAATCCGTGAATAAAGAGGAAAACTAATCCAATCTCAAGGGCATTATTTTAAATCCTTCAAATATATATGCATTTTGGAATTCCGTGGGTATATTTGGATTAAAACCCCGAGCAAGGGACAAAGGGGTATATTAGCAACTACTGCTATTAAGGATCTTTTACTGAATTAGCTAATCTAGCAAAACTATTTGCCAAAATGGTTATTTTCACATTCTAATTCCACAATTAGCCATAATATTGACGTGGAAGGCATAAAACACTTGAACCACAATAAACTCTTTTCTTTTCTTTTTTTTTTTTTTTTTTCTTTTGAACCAATCTAGTTTGGATTTTTTTTTTTTTTTTTTTTTGGCTGAAAAGATCAGCCTCACCCTCACCAGTTCACCTCCAACAATACAACACCCCTCGTACGGTCGTAGTACCTCAGTCACACCTCACACCACTAGATTCTCTTTCCCCCTACACATCCCAACATAACACCAAATTCTTTGAGCACTTCTCCATGCTCTAAGAATATGGCCTACATGGTGGGATTGGAGTAGAAGATCCACCCTCATTTCATTTTTTCTCCAAACTTGTTAAGTTATATAAAATCATACATATGATAATAATGATAAATAAACACTTGGCCTACATGGTGGGATTGATTCTCATCACATGCCCTTGTGGTTCTTTAAAAATAATGATAATAAAAATAATAAAAATAAAAAAAATAAATAAACACTTCCAATTTCATCAATGAGTGATAATAAACCTACAATCATTTGTGATCTAAAGTCTAAACAAAGAGAGGAAGGGAAATGTTATAAAAAAAACAAAACCAAACCGGGTCACATTAAAAGAATTTATTGTTGTTAAAGGGTCATCATATGTCTTCCAAGTTAATATTATGACTAGTTTTGAAATTAAGATTTGAAAATAGCCATTTTGATAAATAGTTTGCTAAATTAGCCAATTCAGTAAAAGATTTGTGGAAAATAAAAACTCGAATTCACCTTCCTAAAATCATTGTTGAATTCTTCAACAATAAACAAATGGAACTATACAATCAAACAACAAGATTGGGTTTAGGGATTGAACGTAAGAAAATCTGACCTTTTCCAACGGATAGACAGTTTTATTACAAGCAGGACACTTTTCTTGGGTTCCAGAGAAGAAAGAAGAGAGTTTGTTAGGGGTCCTGCCCTGCTCAAAGAAAATGACAATAATAAAATCAATGAGAAATCAACAGAGAAAAATGGGATTAAAATTTCTGTAAAAATTTGGAAAAAGGGATAAAATGAGACAAAGCATGAAACATGGAACTTTATATACAAAGTATATGATGGAAATTTACCTGCTCATATTGGCGATCTGTCTTGGGCCCTGAGGAGGACAAATATACAAAGATCAGGAAAATTGTAAGAAAAATATACAAAGTATGAAAAATTGAAGAGATTCATGAATATCTGAATTATTTACAGAGTAACGTGTACCTGTTTGAAAGTTTTTACGAAAATCTCCGGATTCTTTGAATAGTTGTTCAAAGTGAGTTTTGCAGTAGAGGACTCCATCCATCGAAGAGTAGTTGCTCATCTGTCAATGTAACAAAGTTATGTCTTCATTATTATTTATGATATGTAATCAGATAATATGAACGTCATATATTAAATTCTAGAAACAAGAAACAGGGGTAATTAGGAGGCCAATAATAAAAATAGCAAATGAAATATGGGATCGAGAATCAAAAAGACATAAATGTATCTTCAGAAATTCTACAAGAGTGTAAGACATTGTTAGCAATAATATGACATTGTAGCGGAAAAGAAACGTACCACGAGTGTTCCATTGCAGTGGCTGCATCTGAAGCATGACTTATGAAAAGTTGCCCCATCAGCTGATAACAAATCCACAAAATAGACAGTTTTGTCACAAGCCTTGCATTTGTCAAGAGTTCCAGTAAATGCCATATTTGCAACTCTTTCGCATAAAATAATTTCTACGAAATTGTGTTTATTATCGAATATCAAGGCTATGATCAGCAACAAATCATTAGTTAACTTCTTGAATCCCCAACCGCACAGAAAGAAAGATATATATCAAAGAGAGGGATTTGTCAAAGCATCTCTATGCAGCAAATCCTAAGCCACAGCCTCAAATTGGACTATTGATCAGTTTGAACAAAGTCTCTAATTTGTCCGATCAAAAACTAATTTATACGACCCGTTTGCTAAGTTTATTAGCTCCCAAAGAAATCATGGTTTGAAAAAAGACATCCAAAAATTATGAGGTGAGAACTGCAGGCTAGGCACTAAATGTGGAAGATAGAATGAGGGGTGGTATGACTTTTTCCAAACGATGCAATATCAGAAAAATTGACATTTGTTTTGTTAGAAGGTGAAGTTGATTTAGCCCTTTATTTTTATAGACCTTTATTTTTATAGATTCTCAAGAATATATTAAATAGATATTTAATATATATCATACAATAATTCTTTAACAGAAGACAAGATCTTTAAAGATATAGCCCACATATATGTAAAAATAATCAACAATAAGCTTCATTTGGATCAATTACATAATTGAAATGTGCATTACTTGCATACCATTATAGGTCCGACCTAAACAAATAGAATAAATAATTTAAAAAATAATTTAACAGAAAATATTGGTAAGTAAGCTTTAAAAATATTGTCAAGATATTAAAAGCAGTGTCGAATTTGGCATTTTATATAAGTAGGTTCAAGTTAAGTCAAAATTAAATACATTGTATTATAATTAATTATGAATTAACAAATTTATATCACTTTTCTCATATTATATAATTCTATGAGATTTTTTTTTTTTTTTTTTTTTTTCCAAAATTAGTGGAGTCAATTGATCCCATTACATTGAACATAGAGATCCGCCCCTGATTAAACTGCAATACATTTTAATGAATCCTCAAGCTCAAAGAAAGGCAGGAAAAGAAAAGAGATCATAGATCAGCTAGACATCATAGATAAAGACATCACCTCATTAGCAGTGTCAATCATCACCCCAAGCCCAAATATGATAAAAATATTACTTATAACCTTCAGAGTTCAGTCAGTCAAATCAGAGATAAACGAGAAAAAACAATATTTCTGGGGGACGTAGAAACCAACATAGTATTTGTTTAAAATCACCAAAAAAATCCGGTATTATTTCCATATAATAGAGCAGTTATTGGATATAAGTTTGCAAGTTATCAATCCTTGAATTATTCATCCTATAATCTTAATGCGATTTCTGAAATTTGATACAATTTGTTACTGAACGGTAGTTATGGCAACATGACTTGCTGGGACAGTATGGTATCTGATATGGTTTTCCCATGACGATCAATTCTCCTAGAACAGTTGACACCACTATCAAGAATATTGCGAACCACAACATTCAACGAATGAATGCCCTTGACCTCATAAATCTCAACTTTAACATTTTCTTTGACCCATTTATCTCTCTTTGAAATGGCATCTGGATGCGGAAATGGAGAAGGGTTCAACAGAGGAGACAACACTTTCTTCACCCATTCAGGACTTATTATCACCTGCAACCTATTGATATCTTGAAAGAAATGGGGAATAATGGAAAAGTTCATGTCATTGCCTTTATCTCCGACCCTGATATGTGCAACTTCATACAGAGGAACTTTCTTGCCTGATGGTGCAGGAAAACTTGGATATTTACTAGATATTATTTCAAGGTTCTGATCAGACAAATCAATAAGCCCATCAGGTAATGGAACTGACTCGTCTGAAATGGAAGTTGGCATTTTTATTCGTTTCATCTTGTGTTCATGGTCATGTGTGTTAGCCATGTTTGTGCTCTTAGCCCTAATATGCCAGAAGATAGACTCGCGTCCGACCTACAAAGATTTACTCATGTGATTCGTGTCACTTGATCACTTCATAGCCAAGCATACAACTTCTGAGCTAACTGAAAATACAGGTCAATCCAGAGCAGAAATTTAACATTTGAAGCTGCTAAAAAGGGATACATACCAGTTGTTTTACCAAAAGTACTTCTTTCTTGTGCCCAGTACTGCAATAGAACAGAAAGTAAGCAGATGAATAACACAAACATCAATTAAGGAATTGTGATATACAAGGAAGCAACTGAAAACTGCAAGTGAGGAGATGGAGTTTTGTAGACTAACTTCGTTATGTTTAGATGGTTCTGTATGTTTCATTTTATAACGAAATGCAGTATATATCAAGGCAAGAGGGTGATTTACCTTATACCACCTCCACCAGCAGGCCCATTTGTATATAAAGCAGTGAATTCTCTGACAAATTTGATTGAATGCTCCTCAACCTCAAATAGTCCATCCATGCGTAGCCTTATGTCTCGGCACCCAGCTGCTATTGAGGTAATACTTTCATTGCAGAGTGCTTTTAGGCTATCAAGTCCAATAATGTAAGAAATTATACTTCTATTAATGCCTGGATATGATTCTTCCATCCAAGATCTAACCTAAACGCATATGAAACATTGAAACACACAAAGCCTGATTGTCAAAAATGATTAACTTGCAGCAGTACTTCAGTCATGTCTCAGAATGTACTCCTACATTGTACAGCAAGTACAATTGAAATTCAAAAGGAATCACAGAACAGCATATTTACCAGATACTCAGCTGCTCTTGCACGTTTAATGCATTCATAACCTCCATAAGATATCTCTCCCCACCCTTTCCATCCAGACTCCTAAACCAGATAGAGAACAATTGGATAAAGATTCACAAATATATAAATATGTAGTAAATAAAATAAAAAAGCTACTAAATAATGCACAATCCAGAACATAACAGGACAAAAAAGCAGACATGTATTATGTCACTTGCAAAAGGATTAACAGATTAAATGACGTATTTTATGTGTATTGTGTACGATGACGTTTCTTTACTCAACTCTAGATCAGAAAGATAAGAATCATCCATACCTTTGGTACTAGTTGCAGAAGTTTCTCGGGAGTTGATGTAGCTGAGGGTTTTGCTCCGGTGCAGAGAATTTTGCTGCTAGTTAAGGGTTCAAACATAACATCACGAATATCTAAGACCTGCTTCAGAAGAAGAAAATTATTCTGTAATCAACCATTTCCACCCATCAACACATTATAAAATAGAATAGACACGTTACCACATCAGGAGTGACATAAGCACTTGGATCTGCAATCTCATAGAGAAGCTGCTGAGCACAAGTACTAAAGTTCAGAGCACCACCACTAACATCAGCCTTGGCCACACATACTTCTCCCAGGTAATTGACTTCAGCAAATGGAAGTGATAAATCCAGAAGACACTGAAAAGATATATCTCTGTGTTTGTCTCCTACATGGGGTAAATAAAATTCCAAATTCAGAAAAATATAGAATGTTGAAGCATAGAAACTGTCAAAAGAAAAACTAACCTGGGTGCATAAAATATCCTCCAGTCAGCTGACCACCACACTCTAAAAGGTGCCCTGCTAAAGCTCCTTGTGCTAGCTGCTCCAGATCATCCCAATTCCAGCCCAGCTCATAAACCTGTTAATCAAAGTATAGACTACTGACAATCAAAATAAAAGTAAAATGCAAACAAATATATTTTTGCAGCTCAACCAACATTTTTAGATTTTACCAAAGGAAAAACTGCATAGTAGCAACTAGTAAGTACAAGTCCAACAATATATTCACAATCCTTGTTCCTTTGATGGTCAAACCTAAGCAGCCAACTCATAAAAAATCAAGTGAAAAAGAGGCCAGTTGTTCAACACCAAATGTGTACACAATAAGTCCTACTGCCAGGTAATTGTAGTTTAATAAACAATCTACCTTGATAATATTAATCTCCCAAACTGTAAGGCACATTAACAGAAATATGATGCTGTCAATTGCATGCAAGAGGCACAACAAGAAAATTCTCACCATTGGACCTAAGAATAGGGCAGCATCTGCTACACGACTAGTAATGATGACATTTGGCTTGTATAACTCAAGACACCTGACAATTGGTGCCGCACCTAGATATGTGCTAATACCCTTCAATGACAAGGAATATAGAATAAGCCAATATGTACCAAAGAGACAACTTTTTTCCAATCAAAATGAAAATACCAACTCTATGATACTACTGCAAGGGTGTCAGTTTCTTACACCATCCATGACAAAAGACCTATCATGTGAGGATGCTGACCCTGAATTTTAGAGAAAGAAAATACAATAGAAGGGACTTAGTAAGCTATAATGATATCAAATTTAACTTTCACCAGTTACCTAAGTACCAAAAAAATTCAAAAAAATTTCCCTAACATTCAAACAAGTATTACCTGGATCTTTGAAGGCAACTTCATGTGCAACAACAACTGTTATACTAAGCCCCAGGCTGTTTGCAATTTCAAGGACCTTTAGCTGAGCACCAATTGGATCCACTTTTGTATAGAAGGAATCAGAAAGAATGAATGGAAAAATACTTAGAATGTATCCATGATCTCAACTACACTACACAAACCAAACAAAAAAAGCTCTCACTTGCACCCATATTTGTAATTATGCATGTTCCCCTTTCCACAGCCAGAGGTAAAAGCAAGTGCATCCACTCCGAAACTGCATGTATGCAAAAGACAAAATTAATGGAGTAGAAACTAATCCATACACAAAAAACTGATTTTGGTTGCACATTCTACTTCCTTCTTAAATAAGAGAGGGAGGGTCAAAGCACACTAAGACTTATAAAGCAGATTGACAAATCTTATAAAAGCCAATGGCAAGTAGCCAAGAAATACAGCAAACATACTGCGTGGGTCATAACCATCTCCGCCAGATATCATCTCCTTGTACCGGTCAGCTAGAGTGCGCTCAGAAAGACACTCAAGTACAATATAGTTAAGCTCCTTCACACTTTGAAGCAACTTAAAAGCTGCCATTGGCCTGTCACCACTAAAGCCAGCTCCACAACCAACATAAACTTTATCCCGTCTCCTTTTAGGATTGACCCTCTGAAGCAAAACAAGCATATAATAGTTCAATCTATGATACAGAATTATGCTGACTAAGTAATAAAATACATGTAAAACTAACCATTTTGATTGAACAATCATCATACACATCACCACTGTGTTCCTCATAGTTCTCCATCATGCCTGAATAAATGTCACTGCATGCACTCACCAAGAAGCTGGAAAGAGTTAGTATACACAATATAATGACCAGTAGAATGACAGAACCAAGACCCGGGCTAGGATGTGTATTTCACCTAAAATAAAGTTTCCTTGTGCATCTCAATAGAAATTAGATGAATAACAAAGAAATAAGCATAAACTCAGTTAAGCACGAAAAAAGATCAATTTAAATAAATTCAGCATAGATAAGTTGAAGAGAACACAGCCTCAGTCCCTCATCCACTTCTATATACTTCTCTAAAGAATCAGAATACTATTCTTCTCGGTCACCAATCAAATTCCCTCATTCCCCCTCTTGAATGAATTACATAACTTAAAACACATATTCAATTTCTAACAACTTGAATCATTCATAAATTTATTGCTACTATTTCTCTAAAGCATCTACATAGTCTTGTCACACACCAAGCACCACAACAACAACAACAACGATACAACCAGATATAAATCATGCCATAGACATACATCCGGAGGTCAAGATGTATGCAGCCTTACCCCTAAAATCTTAGACAATGAAAAAAAAAAAGAAAAAAGAAAAAATAGGGTGTCTGAATAATTGGTCAAATTGAACACCATATAAGCAGCAAACACTCAATTACACAATTCCACTAAACAGTAAAAACTCAATCCAACACCCCTTTACTCTCATTAAGTAAATTTTCATTAGAATACTAAACATAATACCCCAAATGACCCAGATACCGGAGTATCTATCTTTCTTTCATACCACCCGGGCATCGAACGGGCCCAAAAACTAGCTGTGCTAATAAATAATTACAATTAACAAGAAGGGCAAATAATCATAAACTTTGAAGGGTTTTCAGAGATATCAAAATTGAGCCTTTTTTCCAATCAAACATGTGAAATGGGGTATGATAATTCTACATAATCAAATTAACAGTAAAATATGAAATGGGTTACGATAATATTGCTGACATACTTGAATAATGAAGCGTTTGTGATTAATCAAAGAGATTTTCAACTTACCTCTTCTTCAGCGTTCGAATGTGCTATCTCTCTTCAAATTTTTGATTGTGACTTAATTTATAGTCGGGAGTACTGTAGGAACAAAATAATTTAGTGGTTATCCATCAGAAATAAAGAAAATTATTAGGATTTAAAAATATTCAAGGACTATTGAAGAAGACAAATTAACTTAACTGTTGTCTAATCCATTTCATATTTTACGAGTATTTTTGTATTTTTGCAATTGTGATAGAGCAATAATGCATCAAAAAATAATGATGCATTTCATAATCCATTTCATATATTACGAGTATTTTTGTATTTTTGCAATTGTGATAGAGCAATAATGCATCAAAAAATAATGATGAACATTTTTTATTTTTTAAAGGTTTAACTCATAAAGATAATTTTGTTGGTACCAACTATCCCACTATCCTAATGAATTGAGTGTAATAACATCAACAATGAAAAAGGAAAAAAAAATTAGGAAAAAAAATCTAGATAACCTTGACATTAAAAAGATGAATTAATTAAGTTGGAGAAAATACTTATTGATCTAAATGATAAACGTATTTCGTTTATCTTCGGGGTATAACCGATCTTTACCTTTTTTTATGTAGGGTATGTTTGTAAATCTCTTGCAGTTGACTATGAATATCATCTAATTGAGTGTGCAACTATGTCACGTATGACATTCAAAGACGAGCAAGGGATCTATTGATGTGTCCACAAGATAAACGAATTTTCATTTATCATGAAGATAAATGGTGGCCGCCCCATTAAGGGTTTTTTCTGTTCACCTTTTTTCCACTTATTTCAGGTGTAATAAGTTTAGATAAGTTCAATTTAGGGAAATTAAATTTTGATAAGGGATACCCAAGTACAAATTACAACTAAAATAAGTTTTAATAAGGTCTAATAAGTTTAGATAAGTACAGATAAGATCAGATAAGTGAAAATTAGGTGAATAGAATACACCCTGAGTTATACAACTAATAAGATTACTTGGTCATAGACTCGTAGTTGGGCATGTGTGAGGTTGACGAATACTTTGATGAGCAAAGCTATTGAAACATTTGTTTCTGCTTTTATTTGTCTTTTGTTATTTGGTATATAAAGAGACACAATAGATTGTAATATAATCAAAATTGGATCCTAAATCTTGGATGTCAGTCCCTTATAGGTTTATTTTTTTAAAAAAGAATAAAGATTAAATAAAACGATTAAGTTGTTCTAGTGAGTAGAAAACAGTATAACTATGTGCCCATATACCGAGAATGTGAAAATTCAAGGAAAGAAAACACATGGAAATTTGTAGAAAGTAAAACCACAATAATCTAAGGAAATGAAATGCCTATCATAGAAACTCTATGGAAAACAAAGTACGGAGTAATAATTTGTAGGCCTATTCACAGATCGAATTTCCAAATCGAAATGTTATTGATCAAGTATAATGATAAGAACCCCTAAATGTTATTGATTATGAACGGAAGAACATACAACTTGAAAAAAAAATACGGGTTTTTCTATATGGTAACCCTTTAAATTTCACTTTTCTACGTTATGTCCCTCCATTTAGAACTTTCCACATTGTAACCCAAAAATACATTTAGTGTCTATACGGTAACCTTGCCGTTAACAAATTCCCGTTAGTGGGGCCCAGTCTTCACTTATTAATATTTTTTTATCGATTTGTGTGTTAAAAATTGATCCGTGAAGGGTTTTTAGGGCTATTTTGGTCCTTAAGGATCCAAATTGAGCTCAGATTTGGGAAAAAAAAACGTAAATGCCTCTTTTTGCGTATTAAGAAATGTCTCGATTTGCGTGTTTACGTTTTTACTACTCAAAACGAGGCATTTACATTATTTTTTTTCCCAAATCTTAGCCCGATTTGGATCCTTAAAGACCAAAATAGCCCCTAAAACCTTTAATAGAACAATTTCTAACACGCAAATCGATGATAATATATTAATAAGTGAAGAGTGGGCCCCACTAACGGAATTTGTTAACGGTGGGATAAGGGCAAGGTTATCGTATAGACACTAAATGTATTTTAGGGTTTCAGTGTGAAAAGTTCTAAATAAAAGGGCACAACGTAGAAAAGTGAAATTTAGAGAATTACTATATAGAAAAAAAAAAACCCAAAAATTCATCACCTACATGAACATGTCATTTTCGTAAAAAAAATTAAACAACACTAAACTTGTGCCCTAATACTATCCAATTTAGCATAATGCTACTAGTAGTATAAATTAATAACAAATTCTAAACAAAACAATTAAGTGAGGAGCATTGCAAAACCTTAACCGATTAAACTAATTGACGTCGGCTTTTAATCAAGTTCCAAACCACGAAGCAAATACAAATCAGGTGACCAATCATCAAAGCACTCGAAGCAGCTTCCCGCGACACAGCCTGCGAAATAGAGAGAGAAAAAGAGAGAAGAAGAAGATAACAATGGTGGCTGCGTCGTCGTCAGTGGTGGCCGTATACCCACTATCAAGCTACACCTTTGGCACCAAAGAACCCAAGCTTGAAAAAGATACCTCTGTTGCCGATCGTCTTGCTCGTATGAAAGTCAAGTAATTTTCTTCCATTGATTTGTTTTCTTACTTTGATTATATCATCTGATAATCAATAATTTAAATTCCAGTTTTAGTTTACTATAAAGGGAAATAATTTCGCTATTTTTCTGATCTGGGTGATTTTGGGTTCTCTGTTTCAAATTTGTTTGCTTGATTGTGATGCTGATGTTTTGTTTGGTTGAATTTTGTGCGATTTCTGTATTAGACCTGTTAATACCCAGTTGGAAATTGAGTTTTTTGGAAAAAATTGTTAGGAGTTACTGTTAGTTGTGTTATTTGGTGCTTAATTAGGGCAAACCTTGTTTTAGGGTTTTAAGATGAACAGTGTTGTTCTTACGAGGTTTCCATAAGTTCTGATTTTTAGAGCTTGTTGTACCGCTTGTTGGGTCTGATAGGTGGTAATGAATTCTGTATTATGTTTTGAGGATCATTTAAATTTTCAAATTAAAGTAGATAATAAGATGACTTAGATGAGGCAAGAGAAACACTGGTAATTGGACTAGTATGCTTACTTAGGCTAAGTTGTAGGGAATTGGACTCGTATATTTGCACTAATTGAAGCCAATTTCTCATGAATTGGATTCCTAGAAAAGGAAGTAACAATAATTATCGAGTATTTCTTCAGAGTCTTGCCTTCGGTTACCAGATGGACTTTCCCTAAAAAGCAATATAGATACTAGCATACTACAACTTTTTGTTGGGAATTGGACTCGTATGTTTGCACTAATTGAAGCCAATTTCTCATGAATTGGACTCCTAGATTAGGAAGTGGCAATAATTATTTCTTCATAGTCTTGCCTTCAGTAACTAGATGAACTTTCCCTAAAAAACAATATAGATACCAGTAAACTACCCTTACAACTTTTTGCTTCCTGCATCCACTTTTTTTTAAAAAGTTTGAGTTTTTGCATCAAAACTGTTGCAATTGTTAGTGATCTTAGGGATGTGTCAAGCTGTCTACTACTTGTGGATCTGAATCAAACATAATTAGAACCAAATGGTAAATATTTAACCTGTCATCTGTATATAAATTTGTATGAACAATGATTATAATTTATAAACCATTTGGTTAGCAGTTATCATCAAGACATGACAAAAGCTATGGGTACTAGGTGATTGTATTTTTCTGTGATAGAAAGAGTAGTGGTCTAGTCTGTTTGACCAAGAGTTTCCATTTGCCGTATCATATATTGAGTGTGTATTATTTAGTACCAAGTTTGAATCTTGAAAGAATTTTTGAACTTAACATTGAGCTGTGATTGATGTCTGTCATTCATTTAATGCTGGGAATTACATTCTGTAAGACTGTAACACCCCCATAGGACAGGGAGCTGGTCCTTTCACATGTGGTACCATTGTCCACTTACTGTTCCTGGTTCCTGAATTTTGTACTAATAAAGGAGGTTTGTAAAGTGCAGAAGCTTTAATCATAATTTAGCCCTTACAGCTGTATTGAAAGGAGACAAGAACAAAGTTAAAAATCAAACTTGTATTTATTACTTTTAGTAACCAGTCAGAGCAAAAGATGGAATTGCTTATGGTATATCCGTATAAAATCTACTGTAGACCTGTAGTCATATGTGCTTGTTGATTGATCTTTTTACCTTACAGTTGTTGTATGCGAGGGTTTTTGCTTCCCTACCGATTGTATTGTTTTGGTAGTGATGGAAACCCTAAAGGTGGCTATATAATTTGCACTATTTATTGCCTGTTTGATAAAAATATTCTTCATTTTGATGAAAAATCTAATTTGTTTGTGTGGTTATTATTTTAATTATCTTAATGTTTGATACAATTGATACTAATATGACCCACTGTATTTTTTCAATTATAGTTACTTTAAAGAAGGCATGAGGACCAGTGTGGAAGGCATTCTACTTGTAAGTTACTCTCAGCATGCTACTGATGTTATTCATGTGCTTCCAATTGGATATGAAAGATATACATTATGTTTCTTTTTTTTATAAGCTTTTTTCTTCCTATCTTATTCTTGTGTGTTTCCTTAAAATTAATTATGTTTGGATCAAAGAGTTTCTTATTATCAGCATTGTAAATACTTTTTCTATGTTTCAGTGATCTTGAATGACAGTTGTCTATCCCTTATGTCCTGTGAACAATCATGTGACTTTTTTTTAATTATAATTATTCTTCCTGCACCCCTGTTTGGTACTGATGTTTTCTTTCGATCCTGAATATCCGCTTTTGAGATTTGATACATGGTTTGCTAGCAGCTAGCTATTATAACATGTTGCATCACTTGCATGCTTCTCTCATGTGGGGTCTATGTAGAATTTGTATTTTTGTTTGTTCCACAAGTATAGTTATTATGATGGAAACAGTTTTTGCTGGAACAAGGCTGTTACTTTCTACGTTTTTGCCATAGACTCATGTCTCATCTTCATATGTCGTTATTATTGAGGCTTAATAGTGGGATTTTTTTTTTTCTTTTTTCGAGTTGTTGAAGAGATTGACTCTTTCTTTAAGCCATGGCGGTCATTTGACCAAAAGATATGGTGTTCTGAGAGAGGTCAGAGGAAGATGATCTCAACTTAAATTTTACAATTTGTTGGGAGTATTTCAATGTCAGATCATGATCCTTGAGGGCCCTTACTGAAATTTGAAGTTGTTTATGTTCATCTTCTTAGGGTTCAACATAATAGGGCTGAACAAAATTATCCGAAAAACCGAAAACCCGAAAATCCGAACCGTAACCGAACCGAAAATTTGGGTACCCGTTTCGATAACCATAACGGTTCGGGTACCCGATCCGATAATTTGTTATCGGGTACGGTTATTGGGTATCATTTTAAAATTAACGATTACCCAATCCGATCCGATAAGCAATTTTTTTTTTTTTTTTTTTTTCCTACTTAAATCTATTTATCCAAAATCTAAACTCTTACTTTACTTCGTAATCACTTCATAATATAAATGATTAGTAGTTATTAGTAATTTGGTCATGATCATGTGGTATTATTGTTGATTAGTGTTGAATGATATCATAATAACTATATTATAAAGTCTAAATTTTTATTATTGGATATCATATTGGGTATCCGATAACCGATCGAAAATCTGACTTCGGGTACCTGGTACCTGAACTTCGGGTACCCGAACTTATTGGTTCGGGTAATGGATATCATTTATAGTGTTATTGGTTATCGGGTTCCCGAACCGATAGTGTTAACGTTACGGGTACCCGACCCATGTTCACCCCTATAACATACCCCTATAACATACATATCCTACAAAAAAGATGGTTGGTTCTTCTGGTAGGCTTTTCACGTATAGTTCTCCATCCTTTACAGTTTTCTACTTTTCTCAGATAGTCAGATCATTTCACTTCAAAAGTTGATCCTTCCATTCTCATGTATTAATTTTGGGCTTCTGGATTTGCATATTGCTTGTGTACTTTGAGTGGCTAGTACACGAATCTTTGAATTCTATTTAAATCTTATTATGGTTTACCAAAGCAAACTTGAGAAAAATGCATGAATGTAAAACCCCTATACTCGTGTAATTTCTGCCTATGAGGCCTCAAACTATTAATCAACATTTTTGGTTTTGGTTTTCTCATTTGAGGGTTAGAGCTAGGATTGCCTGGAGAGGCTAAAGAAAGCTGTATGTTGATTGTGATACGAGAAGTAGGTTTTCGTATAGTGGGTGGATTATGGAAGGATAGTTGAGTCATGATCTTGGTTGGTTCAGTATCAAGACATGGTTTTGGTAGTATATCAGTATGGGATGATCTGTTGAAGGACACACGAGGATGGCTTTGCTGGAAAGGACTATTGTCTAGGCATTTTTATGGACAATAGCACTATGTTGAGGATTAAATTGAAGCCTAGTTATCTGGAGAAGTAGCTAGCACTGTTCTTAAGAGGCCCAGAATTTATCATCTGTGAGGTATTGAATCTTCTTTTAATAGTTTGAGCTGGTTCTTGTATCCTATGGCAAGCTCTAGTTTGGGTAATTGGTGAACATCCCAACTTTACAAGATTATGAAAGTCTTATACCAAGCCATCTTATTTTGGAATCTAGAATGTTTTGGTATTGAAATGGGTATAGGATTGCAAAATCCTACTTGGTTTTGCTAAACTACTCCACATCTCTGTGCCTAGCATCACTCAACTATCCAGTATAGCTTAACAACGGTAGCTAGTGGCCAAATGGCCTATCTTTCCCACATAAAGATTTGTTTATTTCTGATGTCTGTTGGAAAAAGGAAGGGAGTGTAGGGATTACTTGTTCATATATCCAAAGAAGGAGAGAACATTTCTAGTCAGCTGGAAATTAAGATAGAAATATGGAAAAATAAAACTTGTATGAGTAAATGAGAGCTGGACAGAGGGAAAAGTGCACTGGTCTCAGGATCTTGTTACCCCGTTTTATGTTGTTTTATACTTCTTATCATTTACCAATGGTTCATCATAAACTGTGGCATTGGATCTTGGAGTGGATTGAATCCTTGACTTTGTATGGTAGGTCGGCACGTGCTACTGAATCCTCAATGCTCTAAGCATCTTTTTTTTTAAGTTCACTTGACTGTTTTGGGTTGTTAATTACTTATAGTGAAGCATGATTTTGGAATAATATTTGTATACACTTAAATTTCAGTATAAGCTTTGTCTTAAATAAATAATTTGGCATTTATTGACCAGGTCCAAGAACATAATCATCCACACATTCTTCTATTACAAATTGGAAACACTTTCTGCAAACTTCCTGGTGGTCGTTTGAAGCCTGGTGAAAATGGTATAACGTTATGATAGTATCATCTCAATGCTTTTACTATCCTAGCTCTGTCACAGTTTACTTACTTTATTTTTATTCATTTATTGTGAACAGAAATTGAAGGTTTGAAGAGGAAACTTTCTAGCAAACTCGGTGCTAACTCGACTGCTCATCAACCTAATTGGCAGGTATGATACTTTGGTGTCCTTTATGTTGTACTAATTCTGATTATCTGTCTCTAACACCCTTTTGCTCTTTCCTATTTGCTGTTATTCTGGCTTCATGAAGTGTTTATTTAAAGTAAAATCCTAGTAGTGACATATTCCTTAGAATATTAAGGTCTAAATGTTATTTTGCAGATTGGTGAGTGTGTTGCTAACTGGTGGAGGCCAAATTTTGAAACAGTGATGTATCCCTACTGCCCTCCTCACATCACAAAACCCAAGGTGAAGGATTTATTTGACGGTGCTCCTTTCTTTTCATGAAGTCTTTTGGACTAGGCTGACCTTGAAAGATTTTGTAACAGGAATGTAAAAAGCTTTTCATGGTCCACTTGCCAGAGCGAGAATACTTTGCTGTACCAAAAAATCTTAAGTTGTTGGCCGTGCCCCTCTTTGAGCTTTATGATAATGTTCAGGTTTGAAATTCCAACCAATGAATGTTCATTTTTCTTTTTGGTCCCTCAAATGGCAATTTTTTTTTATTTTTATATAAGCATAAACCGTGCCTTAAGTTTCTATACATTCATAAGCACTGCATGCTAGTATGTTTTCGGCATGCTATGTCTTGATTGGATCAGTTGTTTACTAGAAAAGTAAAATGAGTTGTTTGGTGTTGCGTGTTGCAGAGATATGGACCAGTGATCTCAACCATCCCTCAGCAATTGTCAAGATTTCAATTCAACATGATCTCTCCTTGATTTTCTAATCTACAACTTCACTTAAACTTGTGTGGTGTACTGGTCAGTTTGGACGGGGTAGTGCCAGAAGCAGTGGTTGTGTTATTGGTGGCTGTCTTGTTTTGAGATAGTAGCAGATCCACACTTCATGGAAGCCCAGCTTTGCTGACTATCTGCCTTCCCTCAGTTTCTGATATATCTTATCATCATTTTAGCATTAACTTATCGCTAGGAGATTCAAGGTTACATTGTTTCACAGGGTTTGTACTGATATGTGAACCTTCTTGCTTGTATAATGTTTGTTTTAGCCTTTAGTATTTTGCCGCCTCTATTTAAACTTCCTACATTATGTTTCTTTTTATTTTTTTTGGTGGTTAGAGTTGTAGAGAAGCTTTAGTTAAAGATTAGTTTTTCTGTACTTGTCAGTTGATAGGAAATTAGGTCGGCATTCTTCATACAGTCGTCTGCGAAGTTCGAACTGGCTAAAATGTATGCCCTTTGTTGTTCCACTATTTTTTAGGTGTTCTCGAATCGTATCATTTTTTTGGTCTAAGATTCTATGATTTAGATTTGTGTATACTCAAATATTTATAGATGGAGGCAGATTAGAATTTGGAGTATTAAGCACCTCATAGTATATACTTTAGCCGATGTTTATCAACTTAAGCTTAATTGTAATGAAGAATTGGTTAAGATAAATCATTGAAAATCATGAATGGTCAATCTTGGCCAAGCTTTCGGTATCAAGCTCAACATTGATAAAGTGGTCATGGGTTGAGCTATGTCCAAGGATAACAACACGCATAACTTGTTCAAGGGTGAGTTATTGTGAACTTGTTTCCGTTCATTAATATTTAATAACTTAGTACTATTAAAGCTGACTATAACCATTGTCAAGCGACAACTAAGCACATTGCGTGTTTTGAAAACAAAATTCATGGCTTGTTTAGAACAAGTTCACAATAACTAAGCACATTGCGTGTTTAGAAAAAACAAAATTCATTGCGTGTTTAGAACAAGTTCACAATAACTAAGTACATTGCGTGTTTAGAAAACTAAGCACATTGCGTGTTTAGAAAACAAAATTCATTGATGCAGATGTTGACAACTCCATATGTACGATTACATGCACAATGTGTTCATTTGCCAACACATATGATGAATGTGTAGGCATTAGTCAACATGTTGTCATGGAACGAGCGCAAATCACTTGTGCGACGCCTGAATCCTCAGGCTTGATCCAGGCCAGCCTTCCCCATATGCACAACAAGCTATTAAATAGAGGAAATAATACACAGTGACATTAACCTACACCACAAACACATGCATCAATAAAGCACACAAGCATAGGAAGGTTGCTTCATATAGAACTTGCTGTGTAGGGACATCGGGAAAACTGTCAGCACGTGACAACATGCTGACAGTTTTCCCGATGTCATATAAAATCCAAAAAGTGCGAATTATTTTCAAACTTATGTCATGTTATATTTTTCGTTGATTGTCATAATGCTCCCGGTGTATAATATAACAATTGACTAGTACAATTTTTTGCTTAATTTAGTAGCGAACTGTGATCTCGTACCCCTCTTCAGTGTAGGTCTACAACATTATTAAAATGGCCACAATTTCCCTAGCAAAAGGGCATTGTGCAAAAGGAAGATCAGTTGATTCTGAATCAATTTATGAAAATAAGTCGAAGTCATATTTTGGCAATGGTAAGAAGGTTCTTGCGAATGATTTTCTTGAAGGTAAAATCATGAGCTTAAATATGTGTGTATTAAGGCCCTTAGAATGCTCTAACTATAAGAATAGCAGAAAAAGGCTCAACATTATTGCTAAACTTAAGAAAGGGAAGAAGCATGACTACCCGTGGCCAGATGATATCGATCCTAATTTATCGAGTGGGCATTTGAGATACCTCTCTCACTTTAAGCCTTTGGAAGATAAACCAAAGCTTGTGACACTTTCATTTGAGAAACCATTGGTTGATCTCGAGCAAAAGATCATCAAGGTCAGTGACTTCCTTGGTTCATCATATAATTTTGTAATTGAACCTTACACTGGATTGTGCATTACTGAACCTTACATGAGTTTTCCTTGTGCATCAGTCGAAAAATATTGTCCATCCTTTGAAAAGTGGTCATCTCTTACTTGCAGGTTCGTCGAATGGCATATGAAACTGGTCTAGATTACAGTGATCAAATTAGTGCTTTGGAGCTCAAATATCAGCAGGTAACAGCATATTAGAAAGTCTTTTATCATCTGCAGCTTTTTTTTGGTGCCCTGCTTCTTTTGCACGCTTTGTCTAATGTTAGCAGTAAATTTTAGGCAGTACTGGACTATACATAGCTGTAGTAAGTAGGAACATTCCTTTGTTTTCGATCATCTGATGTGCTAATTCATCATTGTTAGGCTATAAAAGATCTGTACACCCATTTGACACCGATTCAACGTTTAGACATTGCTAGACATCCCAACAGGCCAACTGTCCTTGATCATGTTCTGAACATCACAGAAAAGGTAATTTAGTTGTTGTAATGAATATATCCAATTTTATTTGGGAATATCTAATGATCATGTTCTCGTCTTTTTCATACATCTTTTAGTGGGTGGAACTCCATGGAGATCGTGCAGGCTATGATGATCCAGCTATTGTAACTGGTATAGGGAGCATCGATGGTAGAAGCTATCTGATCATCGGCCATCAGAAGGGAAGAAACACAAAGGAAAACATTTATCGAAACTTCGCTATGCCAACTCCTCATGGGTATATAACTATGAACTGACAAACTAGCTTCTGAGGGAAATTTCAGTTAATATTGTTTTGTTTTTGACAGAATGGGTGACCTTTTAACAGGTACAGGAAGGCTTTGCGCATGATGAAGTATGCCGACCATCATGGTTTTCCCATAATTACACTTATTGACTCACCAGGAGCTTATGCTGATCTCAAATCTGAGGAACTCGGTCAAGTGAGTGGACAACTACTTGTATATATGTTTTAACTTTAATTTTTCGACTTTAAATGTGATAATACGAGGGATGAAATGATTTGTTTCACTGAGCGCAGGGTGAAGCTATAGCTCGAAATGTATGGTCCATGTTTGGATTGAGAGTTCCTATCATCACAATTGTAACTGGTGAAGGTGGTTCTGGAGGAGCTGTGGCTATCGGCTGCTGCAACAAATTTTTTATGCTTGAGAACTCTGTTTGTTATGTTGCTAGGTATTCTTTGAGGTTATGGTCTTTATATGGTTTCTCTAATGTTTTTATAAATTTCGTCATCAATATCCAATACTCATACAATACCTTATCATTGCTCTATTGACAGTCCTGAAGCATGTGCTGCTATATTATGGAACTCATCCCAAGCAGCCCCAAAGGTATATGAATTTTACTCTTGCTATGTTGTTAAATAAGTTTTCATAGAATACAGCCTTATTAACTGCAACAGAATCTATCTTTTACATGAAAAGGCTGCTGAAAAACTGAGGATAACAGCTCAAGAACACCTCCGGCTAAAAATTGCTGATGCTATCATTCCTGTAAGTGTCTCTGAATTCTCATATTTCTGCCTGGAATCAGACACAATCTCTGGCTAAAAACCATTGTTGTAAAACTTCTTTCATTGGCTCTAAATTTAGCCTTAATATACACTGGATTCTTTCAGTTCAGCAAATCAGTTGTGTTTCATTAATTGAATTTTCTCATTTAGCAAGGCATGTTGCTTTGTTACAGGAGCCGCTTGGAGGAGCACAATCTGATCCTATTTAGGACATCTCAGCAGATAAAGACCGCCATTTTACAAGCCATGGAGGTCAGCCATTATGACGTGATAACTATGATGATTTACCCAACTTCCATCTGCTGATGCTGCATTTATTCCAGGAACTAGGTAGGATGAGTAAAGAAGAGCTGCTTCAACAGCGTATGCTCAAGTACCGTCATATTGGTGGGTTTCAAGAAGGCATCCCGATTGATCCAAATAAGAAATGGAAGATGAAACCTTCAGATATTAATATGTCAGAATCTGCTGATATAGAGACTGAACTTGAGAACTTCAAGAAGATGATTCTAGAAGCGAAGGGATCAAATGAGCAAACAAACCAAACAATGGAAAAGATACAGGAGGATGTTGACAAAGAGATCACAAAAGCGTTCATATCCATGGGCTTACAAGGGGAACTTGAATCACTCAAGTTAGAGCTAGCTATATCCTCAAACCCGCTTTTGAGCATTGCTCTGAGGGAAAAAGCAGATAGACTAATGCAGGAATTCAGGCTTAAATTGTCCAAACCAGGTGAGTTTATGGGGCTAAAAGAGAAGCTAGCTAAATTTGCAACGCTAAACAGGCTCATAGAGATCAAGAAAAAAGGTGACAAGATAAAAGCGGAGATCAATCAAAAAGTACCAACAAAGGTAAAAGAGAAGTTGTTGCTACTAAAGTCTGCTGAAGAGAAATTACTGCAAGGCAAAGAAATAGATAAGGAAACAGTAGAAGGTGTAGAGACTACAATAAAAGAGCTCGAAGAGGTCTTGAAGTCGTCTAACTTAAAGATTGTGGGTACGACAAAGAGGGTTGAAAGAAGTTCTCTTCCTGATATGAACAAGAAGCTATCAGTGTTGAACAATGAGATGAATGGAGAAATCGAAAGGGCTATAGACAAGGCAGGCCTTAGGGAGAAAATAGAGGAACTGAAGACGGAGAAAACTCAAGCGTGGAAAAGGTGACAAGACTACAGGATGAGATAAAGGCGAAAATTGCTGCTGTTATGAAAGCTGAATTTCTGAAAGGGAAAGTAGATGATCTGAAAGATGAGTTGGTGTCTCCTACAGAGGTAATTCTGCTAGGTAAGCTTGGTGCTGAAAATGGAAGATCATAATCAGATTTGGAGTGCAGATCTTAAACCTATGAGATTGTATATATATACATATCAAAGCTTTTCATAGCTAAGATTGAAATAAGCATATTTTTGGACACTCCAAGGATAATATTGGAATATAGAACAACCAACGTACAACGATATACTATATCCATATAAGATAAAGAGATACTCTCTCCGTTTTTTTAATAGTTGTTTCCCTTTGATCACTTTTTTTAATACATATTCGATTTTATGGTGTAAACATGTATTAATGTATACTCGTATTTCCCAAAATATTAAATTTATACAATTTATATCATAGACATTATGATCAAGGTTTTTTTAAAAAAAATACATAGTCAAAGTTATGCGTTGACTAATGACTAAAGATATGTGAAAACTTTCTATTTATATAGTGCAAACAGACAGGCAATAGCAATCCCATCACACAAAAATTTGAGATAACGGTTACAAACAGTCAAAACTAACTTTGCCGCCTTTTTTTTTTCTTTCTCTCATTTCTAAACAAGAATGTTGAAGCTTAGAATAACCACAGCAATGGAGTTCAGACAAATGATAGCAACAATCTCAACTATCTCCAACACTACGCACATCGAATTCTCCGAAAACTTCACCCTCTTTCATACTACCCATAAAACTACCAATGTATTATCTTTGCTTCATCTTTCTTCTAAATTTTTTCATCATTATCATATCTCTAGACCCTTCATTGTCAATGCTAAACTCGCTCCTAT